TTTAGTCTGAAAGCATTGTTATAATTAGGTAAATTTAGTCTGAAGGTAACCGTGTGATGTGAGAATCTTAAGGGTTTCATGGGCAGTGTTAATGCATTAATTAATTTGTCAGGGTTACATTAACCTAATCTAACCCTAATTCCTAATTGGTGACCACAAAATTACAAGCGGGCACCAGCTAATTAAGTTCACAAAATTTCTTGTTCATCCCCCACAATGTTTATAATATGCATTGCATCAAGAGCTTCTCTGTCAATTTGTCAACGCAACCTTTTTTTCTTATTTTGTTTTATTCTTACAACTAGTCTGCACATACTTCTAAAATCACATCACATCAAGACTTTTTCTGATTAATTTTTAATAGCAATTATGAGAAGAAAGATTTTATGCAAAACAAAAAATATCACTCTGAAAAACTTTTTTTTTTCTATAGAAAAACAATACAAAAGTCTTATAAAATATTAAAAACTATAGCTGTAACATAATTAAAGCAGTACTATATAAAAACTATGGTATTGAATGAGTGAAATATAAAATCCAAATATTTAGTATAGTGTTTTATTGATAATTTGAAAACGAAGCAGATAAAGTCAAATCATTCTCAATATCATTCAATCAATTATTTATTATCGATAAAAAAAATGTAAAATCATTCTCAAAAATTGCTTTAATGATACTCAGTAATTTTTTACAGTCAAAACCTTTTTACCATTAACTTTTAACGTTTCCATTAAGTATACCATGCTTACAAAACATTTCACACATTAATATATTATCTTACTTTATTGTCAGTTTTACTAGGTGAGGTGGTTTTTAAAATATTTATATAAATTTTATAAAAATTTCATTTATATATAGAGTCATCTTAAAAGATTTATGTATTATAAGAGTATTTTGAGAATGTTATTTTATTAGTTTTAGTTCATAATTTTGTTGTTTTAAGTTCTTTTAATAGAAGATGACATTAGATCTTTATATAAATTTAGTTTATATTTCATTGTTGTTGTATTTGCTCACTCTTTTCTTCTTTTAAAGTCTTAATATGAGAGTGCACACTTAATAATTACTATTTTTAAAATAATCACATAACCAAACTATAATTTTGTTGTGGAAGATAATAAGACATTATAGAATATAATTTAGCAATATAAATTTCAATAATTGATGAGATTATGTTAAGTAGCAAAGTTATTAAGTGCATAATTGATACATACTAATGTACATCACAAATAGGATCAAGTCGAGACTTGAATTATTCATAAACGAATTGATTTCCGTACGTCAAATGCTTGATTAAATTTATTTATTTAAAGTTAATAATTTGGGTGTTAATGAGTTGGAACATACGTGTGTATCACAGTGTGTTATTTATAGCATTCTTATTAATTTATTTAGTTATCACAGTGTGTTATTTAGTTATTAATTTGGGTGTTAAACGCCGACAAAAAAAGGAAAATTTAAATGTTAATTTTTTATAAACAATTTTAGTTTAAACTTCCGTGTTTCATTAAGTTAATTCTTTTTTTCACGGTTCAAATTTAAGTTTGAAATGTTAATTGAAGTTCAGCAAACGTATATCACATAAGAAATGATTTCCTACTTTTAAATTAGATTAAAAATGAATTTCAGAATTTAATTGACTGATCTATGAATGACGTTACGTCTCTTTTCATTTTGAAATAGTTAATAAATAAAGAAGATAATTTTTTTAATGAAAATATGTTTGTTTTAAAGAATAAACTATTTTATATAAACAATTCAAATATTAAATTATTAAAATTAAAAAAAAAATAAATGAAGGAAAATTTTTATAAAAAAGAGAATCAGATTATAAACAAATGAAATTAGTTAAATTTAATCTTTTGTATTTATACACGATTAATCAAGTAAATTTATAAATTTAATTCAATTGGCAATATCCTTTTATTTTATTTTATTTTTCACAGGTCCGTGAACTTGATTGATTAGGTTTATACAGTATTAACCAGTAACTTATTACTTTTAAAGAAATAAAAATAATAATTTGAATAAAATGACAACGAAATAAAACTTGAGACATCATTTTAAAAAAGAGGTATGACAACATTTATTTTAAATATTGAATTTTGGTTTTATAATTGAAATATATATATCAAAGTGAGGATAAAAATAGTGAGTTTTTAGTTTCGACTATCAACTAAAGCACAGTATTTTGCTTTTGTTCAATAAAAAACTAAATTAGTAAGTTACAATAAATAAAAAGTTTGAATTAACAACTATAAACAAAATTGCACCAAAATACTCTTTTTGATTTAAACATATTATTTAATTTTAAAAATATTTAACTTCGATTTTGTCAAAATACTCTTAAAATTAAATAATATTTTAAATTATTAGTTTTAATTATACTGGTAATTGAGTTTAAATCTATCTTTTTATATATTAAATTGTAGTTTTTTTAAAAAATATTTTTTTAAAACGATATTCGCTTCCATTACAGCCTTTTCCAATTTTGGTTAAAAACTGAAACCTAAACGTTTCTTTTTCCATCATATATGTTAAACCTACACAAAAATCTAACACAAAACCAAAACAACTTATATTTTATAAAATACTTGGTGAGAGTACATCACTTTTGTATTAAATCTCAAACGAAAAAGCCTAACTCAATAACAATTCTCAAATAAATAAAATATAAACACATAATTATGAATTATAAAAAAATAAATAATGCATCATATATAAAAAACTGCAAAAAGACACATTAAATAAAAAAAAATACTTTAATACAAACATACAAAAAAATATTAAAATTATAGATAAAATAAATAACGAGATCATATCCCTTTTCTTAGATGAAATATTTAAATAAATAATACGATTTTTTAAAATCTTGACACACTTTTACTCCTTTGATTATATAATAACTTAATATGTATGATCTCAATGATTTGAAAATCAAAACCAAATCTCTTCTTTTGGATAAAATAATTTAAAAAATAACAAAAGTTTTAAAAATTTTAAAAGATTTCACGAACTTTTCAGCCTTAACTCTGGAATAGCCGAAGTCAAAATAGGTATATATTTGCGGTTCAAATGCAACATAAGCCTTTAAGTTCGCGAAATTTTTAAAATTGTCACTAGTCTTGATATGTTTTGTTTTCTTCAAAACTGAAACATGTAACCTGAGGCAAAATCTGTACGGATATACGATAATTTTAACATGATATTTCTACTAGGCAACATAGTATATGTAATGTGTAATGAGATGAATAAAACAAATGTATCATTTATTTTTTACTTGTAAGGTTGTAACTAAAGTGTAAAACAGGTGTGATAGATGCAACATAGTGGACAAACTTAGTGCAACATAGCGAAACTGTAAATCACTTTATATAATTTATTAGTTTAGAGCTAAGTAATAAAAGTAACATCATTTAGAAGTTTTTGTTGATATCAATGAGTTGTAGTATTTGGAATATAAAAACATAATTATCTTTAAGAATGTTATAGCAAATGTAAACAGAATATTTTGTTTGACACATGTTAACGATTGGGTCTAATTGGCACATAAATTCAATAAGACTCATCTTTCATACCATAAATAGTATCTCTGTCCCCTCATATGTATATGATCAACAAGGTAGTAACAAAGTTGACAATTTTGGGTGAAAAGAGGCAGTAATGCTAGGGAAGGATGAAATGATATGTATATATTGTGAGTATTCTTTACTGGTATTAAATATTATTTTGCAATTTTGTATATAAAGTTATTAGGACACCTTAAGTGTTCTACTTTATTTTTATTGTTTTGCAATTTTTGGTAATTGTTATTTTACAGTTTTTTGTTGATTCTGATTTCTTTTAAATATTTATCCTAAAAACCGAAAGCCATTATAGAAATTAATGTTGAGGTGGGTTTGTAAATAATGACAGTATCGAACTGATAATCCATAACGGGTTGTAATTAGACGATAGTATAAAAGTGTTTTTATAACAGGAGCTGACATAATAACTTTATTAGTAGTTATTAATCAGTTAACTTCCATATATAATTAATCCTTATGGAAGACGAAGTCGAAGGCTGGATGACATTTTCATCGTATTATAATTGATGAGACTTACAAGATTCATGTGGTGCACGTGAACTGCCAACGTACGGGCGGGAAAAGAACCAATCAACCCAATAACCAAACCACAACAATTCAACTTACTCAAGAACTTGCATGGAACATATCCCACCACTCTAACAACCCAACCATTTTAATTTTCTTTCTTCACATAAAAAACACACTTCTTAATACATAATTCATCGTTACTTCTTTATATAGTATTATTCTTAGATTAAAAAAAAAAGGTATACTGAATGTAAAGTTTTAGTTAAAAACAGTTGAAGTTTAGAGCTAAAATGTATAATCTAAGGGAAAGAGACAGAAAAGAGGAAAGAGAGAAGAGCACACGAGTGTTTCCTTTTGTCTTAAAAAAATTAGATATACATGTGGGGGTAAAAGAAAGAGAGAGAGAGAGAGGTGAGAGAAAGTTAAAATAATTATAATAATAATATATTTTGGTGAAGGTAGAAAAAAAAATGGAAAATGGAAGGTTATAAAATAAAAAAGAATTTAGTTTGGAAACATATTTGTGTAGTGTTGTTGTGTTGTGTAGGAGATGGAAGAAAGGTCCAAGGGCACCGCTTTGGGGCTGTAGACACCCTGTCTTCTTTTTGAAAAGTCATTTTCTCATCTTAAAAACACCTTAGCGTATGCCCTCTTCCCATGTAGGCCCTCCTTGAAAGCTATGTAGATGTTTCTTTTAACTCTTCTCTTTTTTTTTTCTTTTTTTTTTTCAATTTAATAAATTGCATTTTCTAGAGAGAGAAGAGAAAAGACAATATTTTTGAAATGTAAAAAAAAAAAAGAAATATTTTTGAAAAGTGACTTACTTGCATATACATATATACATATACATAGTAGTGGTAGTGATGTTAACCATCAATCTCTTATCTTTGCCTAACACTGGTGTACCACCAAATTCGTACAAATATTACTTGTGTGAGTATAAAGAGGTGAGGCCAAAGGAAAGTGTCTGTCTGAGTCTGAGTCTGAGATTAACTACTTGTTAGTTACTTACTTTACATAGACATAAGAGTGAATGGCAATTGCAGCCGCAAACTCATCGCCCACCATGAGTCTCAGCCAGAGCTAGAGCCAGGAGGACGTCACCACCGCCTCCACCACCAACGACAACACCAACAGTAACAACAACAACCACGATAACAAGCCCGACGATCACGAGCATGACATGGTTATGCCCGGTTTTCGCTTCCATCCAACTGAAGAAGAGCTCGTCGAATTCTACCTTCGCCGTAAGGTGGAGGGAAAGCGTTTCAACGTTGAACTCATTACTTTCCTCGATCTTTATCGCTATGACCCTTGGGAGCTTCCTGGTATATATATACACACACACACTCACTTACGCATATATTAAAGTTTCGCTTCCCTTTTCCTCAAGCAATTCTGGGAACTAACTCCCCCTTTTTTCTGCCATCTCCCACTAATTATATATATATACATACACACACACATATATATATATATATATGTATATATCATTCCTTTTTCCTAGACGGCTAGCTTTTCCCGCTTCTTATATATATGGATGATTACCGCACATACATATATATCTCGTGTGCAATTTTGTTTTCATGCTGGTTATTTAATTGAATTCGGATGTGTGTTGTGTTCATGGATCCTCCGATTTTGATGAAGTAAGTGTGTGTGTGTGTGTGTGATGAACAGCGTTGGCGGCTATTGGGGAGAAGGAGTGGTACTTCTATGTGCCGAGAGATAGAAAGTATCGAAACGGTGATCGTCCCAATCGTGTCACCACCTCTGGGTATTGGAAGGCGACGGGAGCTGATAGGATGATCCGAACGGAGAATTTTCGGTCAATCGGCCTCAAGAAAACCCTAGTTTTCTATTCTGGGAAAGCTCCCAAAGGCATACGAACTAGTTGGATTATGAACGAGTATCGGTTGCCGCAACACGAAACCGAACGATATCAAAAGGTACCACATACCTCACACCTCGTACGTTTGTATTTGCAATAATCGATCCACTTGCTGCTTCTCCTTCTTCTTTCGTGATATGTGTAGGAAAACCCGCCGGTTCTTAGTTTTGGTTTTATAATTATTCAACCCTAGTTTGTTTTAAACCTAAAGTAGTTCATCTTGGTTTTGGGTTTGAGATCGTTTTCGTTGGCTAGACTTTATCTGGTGTTGCTAGAGATTCTTCCTTCCGAAACCATAGCTAGATTCGGAGCTATGGCACACCAAAATGCTATAGCTGCGCGAAACTTGCAGCCACTCATGGTCTAAAGTCAAGATACTCGACCAAGATCGAGAAGCCGAGAGGTGAACAATTAATGAATACGTGATAGAAGGAGGGATTGGAAATTTAAAATAAAAGTGTTGGCAGAAAATCAAAACAACCAGCACCGTTTGTCATTAATTCACTTTCTTTATCCTCTTCTCTCTCGCACACATTTATGACTGCATGCATGAATTTTGAAGTCTTATCATAAATTCAATTCGTGCCTCCCTCCGTACCGGTACAAAGTTTTTCTCAAACTTTGTCCGGTCATTTCTTTTCATCAAAATCTCTTCACGGAATGCTTAATTAATTCTCGAATATTGAAATGATTTTTGTTTCTATTTCCAGGCTGAGATATCGCTTTGCCGCGTGTACAAGAGAGCTGGAGTAGAGGATCATCCCTCCCTCCCTCGCTGTCTCCCAACAAGGCCCTCTTCATCAAGAGCTTCTTCGCACTCCGAAACCAAGAAGCACAACGAGTTGGTTCATCACAACATGGGATTTGTGGGACAATCGAAGCCAACCGAACACATAGTTGACAAAATGAATGAAACGGAAGCAAGCAGTGATGTCAACACGGCTCTTGGACTTTCGAAATACAATGCTTACCGTGCTGCGATGGGTGCACTCAGCAGCACAATGGCACTTCCGGTTGTTCCGATGGACGAGGAAGGGCTGATGATGATGCAGCATCAGCAGCAGTCTAAGCAAGCGGCAGCACACGCAGGTGCTCCTGGGATTGGCACAATCTTCTCTGCTGGACCTTCTAGTTCCAATAACAATGGAGTGGTGAACATGGATGATCTGAATAGGCTAGTGAGTTACCAGCAGCAGTTCTACAATGTTCAAAGCCATCCCAATCAGTTCTCTACTCTGCTGATGCAACCATCACCAGTAGTGTCTCTCAGCTCGCTACCAAATCCACTTCCAACCACCTTCTCTGACCGACTGTGGGAGTGGAATCCAATCCCAGAGCCACCAAATCAAGAGTACAGCAACATGTCCTTCAAGTAATCACTTATCAATATTATATATCTGTGAACTGCACATACATATATATATATATATATAGAGAGAGAGAGAGAGACATTTATCTGTGCTAATTTCTACTATCAACTTTATCTAGGTTGTTCTCGTTACTCTAATTAATCCTGTGTCTTATCTTAGAATTCAATAACATAATTGTATGACACATTCTCATCAATCATCAATATATGTATTTGTCGGTAGCACTTTTAGGGTTTTAGTTTTAAGCCACTTTTATTATTATTCTTGTTTATATATACGCACTTTTGATTGTGCATAGAACCACAAGCAAAACTGGATTTTCAAGTTACAAAATTTGTGTTAAATGTTGGCATCATATATATGGGTTAGATGGATAGGCAGAGTAGCGTTTCTGTCCAGTTTTTTCATAAAACGAGGACTGTATATTCCAGTTCTGTTATAGTGTAATTAAGTATGAAATTCTCTATTAAATTCAAAACGCAACACTATTATTAGATTATTTTTACATATACAGTGAGGTTTTATCTAAACAAAACTAATCCTAGAGTAGATAGAATATACTATAGTAAGATTTTATTCAAACAAAACTCGTCCCAATGTAGATAGGATATACCAAATCATTAAAGAAGATTCCAGCCTCAATTTTCAGCTTATTTAATGGAGAGAAACATAATATATGTGTGATTTTAGGGTTGCAAATTTATATAGATGAGGTGTTTGGCCATTAAGGGCCTACCATCGTAAGTCAAAAGTAATTTTTATGATATTTTTTGCTGATATAGAAAAGTCGTAAGTCAAAAGCCATTTAGATAGGGTAATTTTAGAATAAGAAAAATGGCCATTTACATTTCAAGAATTCACTTTGAAATATAACTACAGAGTAATAATCAAAAGGGAGACAAATTTTTACTAGGAATGTTTTAAGAAATGAAAGAACAGTTTATTATATATAAGGCCAAGTTTTCAAGAATAAATTACACAGATATGGATATGGTAATGTGTTCTTAAGATTAATTCCCGCACTTCTTTCTATCAATCTCTTAATCATGTGTATTTCCACGCTTTTAAAAAGTGAATTCTATATTATGATGTATTATACATTTGTTAATTAGTATTACGCATTTTAACAACATATATAATCCTCATTTAAAATACGATTAAATCTGTCTTATGTTCACATGTAAAGCTTTCGTTTTACTGCTATCAATATTTTCTCCTACACTTTGAATGTGATCGATGAAAATACATTCATATATTTTCTTAAAACAATATTCTGGGATTTGGGTAGTAATACGTGTTTTCATAAGTTTATTTTAATATATTTCTCATTTCATATATGTGTAATATTTATACCGATACAAGCTTGTGTAAGAACTTCATTTGGAAGTGGAGTGTATGCTTGATTCTATAAAATATATATTGATAATGCATATGCTTCGTATATAAAAAAATCATATACAGATATCAATATGCCAGCTTCCAAATAATTAAAAACATCAACAAAGTAAATATGAAATTTATAGCTCTACAAGAACATGCAATAAAAATTGACATAAATGTTGTGAAAGTAATTATATAAACAGATTTTCACGTACATTTCAGATGAAATATGTTTGTAAACGCAATATCGGATTTTTTGCGTGGTAGAACTCTTAAGAGATTGTGATAAAAATATATTATTGAATGTTTTAATTGAAAAATAGTAATTTAATTAGTTATATGTTTTTACGTGTGTATACCAATGCGATTGTTTTAAGCAAAACTTCTATGACGTTGATATAAAAAGTTTGAAGATATAATATTATATACTACTATTAAAAAAATATATGTTTGTCTATGTACTAAAATTATAGAATTAAATTTTAACTATTTATATGATTTGAACACGACATTTTCTTATTGAAAATTGATATATTTTTTACACAGAAAAGGGAATGCTATATTATTAAAAGATTAAAATTAACATTACTACCACTACCAGATTTTTACTTAATACCGGCGGCTTAATACCGAAGGCCTGTAGGCCTTCGGTAAAAATGTATTTCCGAGGGCCAAAATGATCATTACAGACGGACATAGTGAAATATAGTTACCGAAGGTCAAACGAGAATTACCGAAGGGTTAGTGGCCTTCGGTAAGTGGCTCGACCTTTTAAACAAAGGTCGTCCCTAATTTTGTTAGACAGAACCCTATACCCTTACCTTCTCGTCTTGTTTCCCATTCTTTCCCTCTCTGTTGTGTTTCGCTCCTTCTGGTCCCATTGTGCTTCCCATTGTCTCCCTCTCACTTCTGTTTAACGTTTGTCTCCCTCTCCCTCTCCCTATCCCTTCCGTCCGGTGGCATTGTGTTCGTAGGTTTCAGTTGTCGAACCTCCAGTGTAGTGGTGTTGGAGTGTTTCTTCCACCAGTGCGTTGGCGTTGCCGTCAGGTGGGTGGTCCGTTAAGATCACGGTGTGTGGGCGTTGCTGTGAGGAGGGTGCTTGTGTTCGTCAAGGGAGGCTGTTGGCGAGAGCATTGCGTCGAGGTATGTTCTCTGTGTCTGTGTAGCCTTATGTTTACTTTTACAATTAGATTGGATGAAGCGATTCTCGTAGATGTGTAGAATAGTTTACCACTGTGAGGATTTTGTTTTATTATGCTTATATGATGGAACCGGTATGAAAAATTGAAGTTGAAGAGGAAGATTTTACATTTCATTGTTTGTGTTTTTGCCTTAAATAAGCATGGATTGGAGTAATAATTTTCGTAATTCTATTATAAGATAAGCATAGGTAGGTAGTATTCTTCTACCTGATTCCTCTTTGGCAGATGTCATTAGAACAAAGTTTGTCTTCCAATGTAACTGGTTGTGTCAATTATTGACATTGGTTGGCTGGGCTAATGGGTCGTCCTTCCTTCTCTTAATATTTATTTCAAGACTTCAAACTAACCAATGTTGGTCATCCCTCTAGTGACGGTGTTGGCTTGGCTTCCATTATTCATTATAATTAATATTATTTTTATGATTGATCCCTGATTATAGATGGACCCAATTCAAAGTGGGCTCATGAGCTAGAGAACTGTGGCCTCCTATTCTGGTTTTGACGTTACATGGTTGAAGTTTGGTATAACTTTGTCCTTGGTTTTGTCTCCACTCAAACATGTCTGGTGACCTCCTCATTTGTCACTCTTATTAGTTGGTTAGTTGTGTGAAGGAGCCTCCTAGTCTGTATTTTTTCAGATATTTTCATAAGGAAAACCAAGGTTACTTCATTTATCTTTTGTTTAAATCTTGGCCTTGTCAGCATGAATATACGTAGGAATTAATTGGCACCAAAGACACCTTTGGTCATTAAATTGTATTGTAATCCGATGAGGGTGAATGAAGCCAAAACAAATTAATGAGTTTTGAATCAGAAATTACAAATCTTTAGTAGCCGAGAGTGAATTTGTTCTATTAAAATCCTTCTTCTCTTTTAGTGAGGATTTTTCAGGGTTTTCCTTAATGAGCAGACTTGTTTTCGGCCTTCAGATTCAGAGTTATTACCCTCAGTCATTTAAATCCATTAAGAACATAATAGCTCATGAAATCCAGGTTAATCCAATGGAAAATAAAAAAGGACCCCTTAACGTTGTAGTATTGCAACACTTGAATCTGGTTTTGATTTTTAATAATCTGATATATGCAAATGAGGAGCAGGATGAGAAAATCATTCTGATGATAGTTATGTACATTATTAGGTTTCATTTTCTTATTACTTGTTAGACAAACATTTGGTATTAGAACATTTTGAGTTGATATCATCAATGTTAGAATGTACTTACAGACTTTGGATGTTACAACATCCTGTGTTACATTGTTTTATGTGAACTATAAAACATTATTTATACATTAATGAATGTCATGTGATTATTTGATGTGCCTTGGATATTGATCATTGATTGGATCTTTGAGATGCAACATTATGCATGTTTGTATGTGGTTTGAAAACTGTTATGCAGGTCTGTTGTAGTGGATGTTGGAGTGGGGCAAATCATGTGGTACCTGTTGCAGATGGCTACGTTATAGGTAGCAGTATCAAACGATTCCTGTTGCTGGAAAGGATGTTACACTTTTTCTTCAGAGCTTAGGCGGTGGGTAAATCTTGTATATTAAAATTAAAAGGTGATAATGTTGGTATTGGTTCTGTCATTTGAATATCTGTGAATTTTTTAACAACTCTGGTATGTTGTCATTGCTTCATACAGGAAAGAGGACAGAAAGTACCACCAGAAGACTCTTGTGAATCAAAGGTTGTAACTAAAGTTTTCTTTTCAACTTATTAGTTTTCCGACATAACATTAGCTCAATTTCTCTTAGGAGTTCAATAGCTGATAAAGAACCAGGCAAGTACATCAAGCATTGGAGAGGTATTAAACCGAAGACAGGGGCACCATATTCATGTGATATTGGCATTGAACGATTTTTGGTCCGAGGTTTGTTTGATGGCCACTTCATTCATATAACTATTTAGTATGATTTATTATATCAACAAGACCAATTATTACTTTTGTTTTCCCTCTGCATATTTTCTTCAATCCCGAGATATAGGCAGTGACTTCACGACCCTTTGCCAGTTGTAATAGACAAGTCCAGCATCTGCACCAATTGACACAAGGAGATCCTTATATAAGGTGAAGTACCATACTGACGTGTATATAAATAAGCCCCACAAGCAGTTTAAATTCTAGTGAACTGCCACTTCAAATCATAAAATTGGGGGATCTTCCAAGGCTCAATGTTAGTTTGGGGCATTTTTTTGTTGTTAACCCAGATAGAGTTTATTAGTGTTAAGTTATACCATATGATTCAACAATGATATTTAGTTTCTGATAGCATGAATTTCTAGCCCTTCAGTTTACATGTTGTTGACAATGATCTCTTTACTTGCCTATTATTAATTTCAGGGAATATAGTTCTGTCTGGAGGTTCAAGCATGTTTCAAGGATTTCACAGGAGGTTGCAACGTGATCTTAAAAAAATAGTGGATGCTCGTGTCCTTTCCTCGAAGCACGCTTAAACGGGGAGTAATAGTAAGTTAATTGGTACCTCTAAACCCTTTAAATTGATGATTTTCTCTCACGCCCACATCTTTGAAACTTGTTTGCCCAAATTCTACAGACTAAACCAATCAACAATCAATGCATCATTATATTGTACTAAATAATTACATAAGTTCATTTGTCCCCATTGTGTGTATGACAATAGTTTTGTGTGGATTGTTGATTGGTTTGGTTATGTAGTTTGTGCTCTGAAGGTCTTCCCATCCCCTGGGGTCCAACAATTGCATGGACAACATAGTCACAAGTGTAATTATAGCAGGCTGGACTGCTGTATTTTATTGCTTAAGTCTTGCTTTTACCTTTTTTACTTCGTTAATTTGGTACCTGCAGTCACAGCCAGTGGAGGTAAATGTACTCAGCCATCCAATCCAGAGATTTGCAGTTTGGTTTGGAGGATCGGTACTTGCATCAACACCTGAATTTTTTACGGTATGCATTTCTGACATTCTTTTTTGTGGTTAGGAGTTACAGTTAATGCATCTCATAATGACTAATTTTGTGTACTAATAAAGTGCTTATGTAATTAGGGGAGGGGGGTTACTTGTACTGTGACTAGGTGAAATCGATTATGTGCCTGAACTGGTAATTTATTATTGCTCCTTTTGATGATATCTGGCATCAACATCGTAGTTTTCATTTGTATTTTAGCTTGTTCATGTAAGATAGAGTTTAAACTTTCTTCCTGTTCGTGGGACAGTTAACATTTTCTTGATGTTGTATATGTCTTAAATCAGTTGTTTTTTTGTTGTGTGGAAAAACTGAAGATATTAGTTTAACCAATGATGTTGTTCAACGAATTTGTATTCCATGTGTGTGCTGTTGAATTTTTTAAGATAATTTTTGCTTATAAATAGTTCAAAGAGATTCCATTTTGTACGAATGCGAGTTTGGCATGTGTTAATGGAAATAAAGGTGGTTCTGGAACCATTGTGCTGTATCCATGTGAGCACTGTTGAATTTCTTAAGATAACCTGTGCTTATAAATAGTTCTAAGAGATTCTATTTTGTACCAATGGGAATTTGGCAGTTGTTATTGGAAAGGAGGTTCTGGAACCTTGTGCATATTCATAACCTTATTTTACTTTCTTTCTGTGGACGTGAGATTTGATGTATCTTATTTATTTACTGTCTCCACATCTGCTTGTGACATGTATCATACTTGAATATACACATGCCTGCATTGTTTGCTGATTTTCTTCACGAGTAATGTCAGAACTGAATTTTATATGAACTGCCTTTTCCGGTATATCACTCTTAATGGATTATAAATAAGATGAGTACATAAGGTTTTGAAAGTAAAAATATTGTGGAACACTTTTTGTTGCTAGCGCTTTGCAATTTTGATGCCTCTTTGATGTCCATACATGAGGGCTCAACTGTGAAGCCAGTCACCACTGCATGCAAACTATTTGTTATACAGGTCTGGGTTGCACAGGAAAAACCATTGTGCTGAAACCTGCTCTGCATTTTACCGAAGGCTTTAGCCCTTCGGTAAATGCCCTCGCATGGCCATTACCGAAGGCTTTCGCCCTTCGGTAAATACCATCGTATCCTCATTACCGAAGGCTTTCGCCCTTCGGTAAATACCATCGTACGCTCATTACCGAGGGCTTTAGCCCTTCGGTAATTACCGAAGGCTTTCGCCCTTCGGTAATTACCGAAGGCTTTCGCCCTTCGGTAATTACCGAAGGCTTTCGCCCTTCGGTACTTACCGAGGGCTTCTGGCCTTCGGTAATTACCGAAGGGCGAAAGCCCTCGGTAATGGTTAGCGACATGGGATTTACCGAAGGATTTTTGGCCGTTGATAGGCCTTCGGTAAACACCCATTATCGACGGCTTTTGGCATTTTCCGAGGGCTTCTGGCCTTCGGTAATGCCCTACTTTTTTGTAGTGTACGGTTTTTAAATTTTAATTGTGATTATATAAATAAATAAAGGTATATATTTTTTTAATATATTCAGAATGTTGGTTGGTATAGAAAATTAACTATGCAGACTGGCATAACACTTAATGGTATTGATTTCAAATTTATTAGCATGCCGCATTTTTTTACTTCCTTTTTGAGCTGAAAATGAAAAGTTGACCCGCTGAGAAAAAATGAACGTTAGATTACTCTGTATTAGTATTATTAAATTGGTTTTATATACATTAATTATGGATCTATACTAAACCAATAACGTATCAGATTAATAGAAACTTTCTTAGTATATAAAATCAACTTATGCTATGAATATATTAAATCATAGTGTAATATATTATACAGCCTATATATAAAGTCATGATGTTTATATGACTTTTTTTAATGTCTTTGTGATAGAAGAGACAGTTTTTTATGTTGCCCCCACAACGACAGTTTTCACTGAAATGTCATTTTTAATGATAATTCTTTAAGTGGTTCTAATTTATATTAATATTATATTGAAAAAATTAACAAGACAATTATTAGGAAAAAAAAAGTTTATTGTTGGAGTGATATGTTTCTTATTTATTAAGGAAAAAAATTATATTTAAAGATAATTTTAAGAAAAGAATTGTATATAATATTAAAAAGTAAAAAGGAAAGATTTTTGAAGTAAAATGAGTGTGTATAAGGAGAAAGTCCTTTGAATAATAAGTATGTAATGACAGGCATGGTGTGTGGTCACAGCATCGCACAGTGTTACCCGTGAACAAAATAAAGGACAAACTACTTTTATTTTATTTTTTTAAAGCAACACCTTAGTTTATTTATATATATAATCTGACAACTGTAATGTGCAACTATTTTATCTTACTATATTTTTAATTTCTCATAACTAATTTATACTTTTAATTTCTTTGTATTTGAAAAATATTACAATCTAGAATCATAGGGCTCCGTGTGTTGAAATTGGGTTCGTATTTGGTTATTCGGCCCATTTCTGTACAAGGCCCATTGCAAAATAAATTTCTTGAAATTTGATGAATGTATTGTATTAGTTATATGAAAGATGTGTCTGAAGAAAAAAAAAAAATCCTCACCAAAAAGTTTCGTGTTAAACATATAACCAACATGTTTATATTTATGTCGATTATTTCTTTATTTCTTCTTTAGCTTAGTCTGTCGGGAGTGAATGACGTTATTATTTTTATGAGAAATATCATTTTTTTGATATTATTTTTTTCATAGCTTAATATCTCAATTTTTTTATGTATATTATTCTTTTTTATCTGTTGTGAATATATTTTTTCTAGCACAACCAACACATTTTTAATTAATGTTGTCTTGCTTATCTTGTCTTACATTCAATTGACAATATTATGCTATAGCATCAAATTCACTTAGTCACTCTATATAATCACTTATATGATTTGTACAATCAATGTCTAGATACCAATGTTTATCATTGGTTACATTACAAACTTGATCTTCCTATGAAGTTGAGGCTGCATTAAAAAAAAGTGATCTTTACTAAAGTATGTTTGAGAAGACGATAAAAGAGTGGAATTTAGGAGAATGGGTTAGCATTAGGTTTTCTAACGTTGGCTTTTGATCGTATTAATTTGAAAGAAAACGATAGAGTTTGTAATGTAATCTGTAATATATGTGAAGTAAAGGGACAAGTGTGATTAGGTTTTGTTGAAGGAGAAGAGAGATTGCTTTCTAACAGTACAGAAGCAATTATTGTGTCTTTATTTATAATTAAAAAAGAAATAAAAAGAAAAAAGGGTGATGAGAAGAGTAGTTTAAATGAGGTTGAAGTCGGAGAAGGGAAAGTTGTGAGGAAAAAGATGGTGTCCCCGATGTCAACGATTCTGGTGACGGGTGGGGCGGGCTTCATCGGATCCCACACGGTGCTTCAGCTTCTCAAACAGGGTTTCCGGGTTACCATAATCGACAACCTCGACAACTCCGTCATCGAAGCCGTTCACAGGGTTCGCCGTCTTGTCGGTCCTCACCTTTCCAACAACCTCACCTTCTGCCACGGCGACCTCCGCAATCCAAACGATTTGGAGCCACTCTTCTCCCAGACCAAGTACCTTCTATTCTCTCTCTTTCTCTCTCACTCTCTCTCTTTCCGTTTGCATGATGCATTGTTTCGTCCATCGCCGCCAGGTTTGATGCTGTCATCCACTTCGCCGGCCTGAAGGGTGTAGGAGAAAGCGTTGCAAAGCCCCGGCGTTACTACGACAACAATGTAGTGGGAACTATCAACCTTTTTCAGGCAATGGCTAAATTTAACTGCAAGAACATGGTTATTTCCTCCTCCGCCACTGTTTATGGCCAACCTCATCAAGTTCCCTGCGTGGAGGAGGACTTGCATTTACACGCCATGAATCCCTACGGAAGAACCAAGGTACCACACTATACTCTGGTTGAATTTAAGATGAAAGAACGTGACAGACACTGTGTGTGCGTGTGCGTGTGTAGCTCTTTGTTGAAGAAATTGCCAGAGACATTCAGAGAGCAGAGGGAGATTGGCGGATCATTCTGCTGAGGTACTTCAATCCGGTTGGGGCTCACGAGAGTGGGCAGATTGGGGAAGATCCAAGGGGTATCCCCAATAATCTCATGCCTTACATTCATCAGGTTGCTGTTGGTAGATTGCCTGAGCTCAAAGTTTATGGTCATGATTATCCCACCAAGGATGGCACCCCGGTGAGCCATTCAATCTCCTTTGTTCTTCTTCACCTTGCAAATTACGTTACCAGTAACAGTTTATGATTGTGTTTGAATGCAGATCCGGGATTATATCCATGTAATGGACTTGGCAGATGGTCACATTGCTGCCCTTCGAAAGCTTTTTGCAACAGACAACATTGGTCCGTCATCACTGTCATAAAACCAATTTAAATTTCTTATCTGTTTTTTCCTCGCCTACCACTCACAAACAATTTCTTCACTATTTAGGTTGTACTGCCTATAATTTGGGAACTGGGCGTGGTACATCGGTGCTTGAAATGGTCGCTGCATTTGAAAAAGCTTCCGGCAAGGTCATTGTTCATTTTGTATCTTCCTCACTCACATCACATCACATGATCTTTGTAAATGTAGTGAACCTACGCACTCAACTCAACTTAACTGATCTTTGCCTCTTCCTTTTTCCAGAAAATTTCGATGAAAATGTGTCCCAGGAGACCAGGAGATGCTACTGCTGTATATGCATCCACGGAGAAAGCTGAGAAAGAACTTGGTTGGAAGTAAGTTTTGTATTTCACCTCCAATTACATCATGTTACTTCGTAAAGCTATAATTATCGATAATTTTTTCTCTGTGGTTGATACTGCTACTTGATTTAATCATTTTAGTTCCCTACCAATTTGATCTCTAGCTATAGACCAGATTGATGCACAGGAAAAGCAAAATTTGAGATTAAATGCACTGATTTGAAACTAAAATTAGGAATCAAATTTGCATATTCTTGAGAATTAAAATGACTGTGTTGGCACAGGGCAAAATACGGTATAGAGGAAATGTGCAGAGACCTATGGAATTGGGCGAGCAAAAATCCATGGGGATACCAGGGGAAACATTAGCTTCATCCCAGACATGTGTGCCTTGTACCAGACTTCCCACTCCTTGTCGTTTTCGGATTCTTCCACTATACCATATCATCTTCACTAATAATATTTCATCTTTCTTCTGTTGATTCAATTGATTGATTCTTTACACTATCTTAGCCTAAATATTTGTCTGATTTTGATTTCTGATATTGTAGAAAGCAGAACTTCTGAGTTATATATATATATGAGAGCCAATTAAATTATTTTCCATGAAACAGTGATCGAATGTCTCTTCAGAAATCTTATTATTATTATTGTCATCACATGCTATTTCGGTACACCTTTGTTGGCTGCACATACAGCTGTTCCAATTTTCTTAAGAGATTGCTGGCTGGCTATGCTCTGTGTAGCACATGTTGAAACCAATCCATCCATACCAACCATGTGTCTGGTTTGCTCTACGTCAAAACCTTCAAATTTGTGTAAAGAACGTGAATAACCAAAATTATATGAAATAACTTCCAATTTTTTGAACTAATTTTCTTCTTCTTTTACTTTTTTCTTCGGTCATATATAAATGAATGTTAATTTCTTACCCAGTGAATGGAATTTAATTCTGAAGCATTTTATATCAATTTCTATATCGATAATATGATGATGATCTTAAAAACAGTAAAACAAAAATCAGCTACCTTGTAATAGACGTGGTTATACAGAAAGAAAGGATGACTGTGTCAGATTTTACTGGTTTAGTTCAAAAATTGATAGGAAAGGGAAATGCAGATTGGTTGTATCTTTCTGTCCCTTGTCGAAAAAGTTGTCGGTGGTTTATAATTTTGTATGGATGATGAGGTTAATTTTGTGTAGTGTGGCCACGTATACATGAGAATATAATCGTGGCCTCAACACCTAAGAAAAAGGTGTGAAAGTGAATGATGCTTTGGTGAAGGATGAGTTGTGGAGGCAATTAGATTAATGGTTGGACTTAGGTGGTGTTGAATACAATACAATACAATGTAGTATTTTCACCTCATTCAACAATTTTTTTAAAAAGCATGTGGTGGGAGCGCCCACACGTATGATGGTCATCATTTTTTGTGTCTATAAAAGAGTGGGGTTTCCCTCCTGTTACAATGTCGTAGCAAATATTAAATGTATAAAGTAAAAAGAAAGTGTATCTTGCTCTTTGTTTGATTTTATTTACTATTTAATTAATAATTAATACAATTTTACTCACTCATCACTTAATACAGTCACTTAAAGGAGTCAACGTTAATAATGCATGGTTTACCGTTTTTTAATTAACGCGTCATTCATTCATGTATTACTAGAAAAGAGAAAAAAAAAAAAAAGGGAAGAGAACATAGATGCAAGCAAGATATTTTGTTACCCAATTTTAGATTAATAATATAAATAAAAATCTAATTTTTCCTACTATCATCAGTTCATCCTAATATTATATGTTTGTCAGTGTGTGTGTGTGTATATATATATATATATATATATATATATATATTATTCTAAGATATACGTAGTAAACTGAATGACAAAAGAAAGGTGTAAAATTATTCAGTGTTAATGAGAAAACTGCAACAATTCATTCATGTAATGCCCTGTTCAAAATCATTTGCACTTCATGATACACATCACTAGATAAGCAAACTGCAAATAATCTATTAGAATTCTATCAGCTATACTGGTATATCTTATTGTTGTTGTTGTATACACACAACTCAGCACCTTTGAACTACTCTAAACTCGTTTAAGAAAAATTAGGGGAATGATGGTTATGCCCTTTAATAAGAAGTCAAATTTGTTATTCAGCTAAGATATTTCTCTTGTCAGAGACAACCCTTTCGGCCACAACTCTGCCTACTGAATGACTATTCTTGCTAGTTCCACTGGTATCATTCCTAGTTACAGAACGTTGCATGATCCGTATAGGAATTCCACCCAAGTCAAAGTCCTCCTTCAAGGACTTGGTTATGAACCTGATGTCTGTATGGGAAAGCTGAGTCTTTCCACGCACAAACACAACAAATGTAGGTGGCCGTGCCTTGACCTGCGTGAAATACTTGACCTTAGGCCGCGCTGCTTGGCCTTTCCAAGAATGCCTGCTCATAACCTGATCAAAACCAACCCAAAATGAGAGTTAAAAAAGCAAATTTACTACCAATTGCATATTTTATTGTTACGAAAAGTGACGAAGGAGTAATGCCTTTTGCAGCCAACGGTTAAGACGAGCTGTAGGTAATCTGGAACACCATTTTTCATATGTATCAATGACCTGATTCAAGACAGTGCTTCGGCCCCTTCCCTCCAATGCTGAAATGAATACAACTGGAATTCCTGTTACCTGTTGAGAAAGTCAAAAGTCAATGCTAAATCAAAAAACAAAAAATAAGTTCATTATTCGTGCCCTTAAAAAAGCTAGGGGGAAATTGGTAAGGACTGTATGATTAGTTAACGGCCTCTCATAGCACATATCTTCTCCAGTTTGTACCATGAGCAATTTTGATATCTATGTCAAAGGCGTAAACACTAAAAAGCTTGATGTGTGACGGTTTAATTTATTGAACTGCAAAAGTTGAACTTATTATTACATGACAGACCTGAGGTATAATTGTCTGAATTTCTTGTGGGACCACTTCCATAATCTTCTCATAGGATAATGATTTGTGTTTGCCTCTTAAAAGGTCCATCTTGTTCACAATCACAACCAGACCTCGCCCTTCTTCCACTGCCCGTCTGGCTATAACGACTTCGGCATGTTTCATACTTCGTCTTTCATTTAAAATCTGGTCAAACAGTTTTTTTTTTCAATTAAAAAAAAACTTACTAATTAGCATATAGAAAGAGAGATGAGAAGACAAATCTTTATATAGATCACACATATAAAAGAGGATATTCCGCAAAGATGCATCATAAACTTCACAGGCAATCATGCACCAAGTCCATCATAATAGACAGGATAACTTCATATAAGGGGTAGGTCACATTACAGAAGGGGATGAAATGAAACACAGTGTGCTCATATCAGAAAGAACACAAGCTCTATGGAATATTAATTTATTTGTACATTTTACTAGGAAACTTTCATCATTTTTTGCAAATTTTATCATTTTAGTTCTTTTTTCCGTATATTACATATTCATTAAATGTGTAATAACTTGCTAACATGTAAAATAAAAGTTAAAAGAAGGGAAAAAACACTTGCAAAACGATGTAGCTTTGACATTGTTTCGTTTTCTTAACTTTCTTTATGACATATCGGCATTCTATTACATATTTAATGGATCGATAAAATGCAAAAATTAAAAATATGATGATAAAATATAGAAAAAAAAATTCAGTGGTAAAACTCATGTAATAATGATAGTTTAATGATAGAATGTGTAACTAAGCCATAAGCTTTTCAAACCAAAATCAGCAAAACCTAAGCTGCTAAGTTAACATTTTCAACCAATAAATGAATTACCAGAACATATTTTAATAGGTCCAAAGTTGTATTTATTCATAGAAACATGGGCGAAAAAAACTAGAAAATAGACTTCGTGAAATAGCTATTTAACAAGCTAATAAATTGTCTTTATTATACCATAGTTGTATGGCGTTGTCCAAATCATATACCTCTTCTGCATCCAGTACCAAAGCAATTATATGAGCCCGGAGAAGACTCTTCCTTGATTGCATAATGCTCAAGGATGCTGCTCCTTTCTCCTGTTTTGTCCTCTGCAACCAACCAGCAGTATCAACCTGAATGACAGCAAAAATGACTATAATTATAAAATGTAACTGAAATTTTAATATTAAATATATACTCAAGTGTATTGGCCTCGAAGCTATACCAGATTCTAAAAGAAGAAGACCCTGATTAATTAGAGCACAATGCAGTAACTGATTCTCTTTTCTGTTTCTTACCTTAATAGAAGATATATATTCTAGAACATATGAGCTGTAAATAGTATCAGAAAGCAATAGTACAATGAGTTGTAAATAGTACAGGAATATGTCCTATTCTCCCTTTTTCTGTTATTCTTTTTTCTATATAAGTTGTAATCATTGTTCTGATGCAATACAGAATACCAATCATTTTCTCTCATTGCTTTTGTTATTTTATTTGTTATGGTATCAGGAGCTTTTTAAAGATTCTGTCTATCAACTCTGATTTTGATCATGAGGAGACCCCTCCTCCACCTCCTCCTTTTATCGACCCCAGCCAGCGACCTTCTAGTCCATTCCACAACCATCCTAGTGAAAGCCCAACCTCCGTTATCTTTACCCCTCCGTTATATTTTTATTTAGTGAGTAAATAGAAATATAACTTCGGATGCCTATAACTACGCTAAGCATCACGTTTACTAAATCTAGGTACACTTTACACAATAATGTGCCAAAAATAAATATTAAAACATTAAAAGGAAAATCAAAAGTATAGCAAGTTTGATCAAGCTCAACAGACAAATTGCACAATAGCTACTATGGAATTACATTTCAAGGGTATATGAACTTCAAAGAGAACATGCTGACTAGAAATTGCATATTTTCCAGACTGTATTTCAGAACAAAAGACATGTACATGTATGCTCACATGCACACATTAAATGGAAAAGATGCGTGTGCCAAATAGCATCTAACTTGAAGGTCAAAGAAACAGAGAACTATCATGTTTTCCTCTTACAAGCAACATTCCGACTTATATCTCTAATCTCTATCAGTCTCTGACTTTATCAATACAACCACAAATCAAGAACCAAGACATGCAATGGTGATTACCAGATAAATTGTTCTTCCTTGAAATTCAAATTGGGTTCTGATTGCATCCCTTGTTAGACCAGCTTCAGGACCCACAAGAACACGGTCTTCTTGCAACAACGCATTCAATAGTGTTGATTTACCGACATTAGGACGTCCTACAATGGCTAACTGCAATGGCAGCTTACTTTCATCAACATCAAGGTTGCTGCTGTTCTCGTCGTGGCTATTTTCATGATCTCCTTCATCCGTATCTATGATTAGTAACAATTGAATGTGGAGTTAACATAGTGATAACACAGCAACGCAGCGGTGAACTTAATGTTGACAAGTTTAAATAGCATGTTCTTTCCCCCTCTCTGTCACCACAAAAAAACTCACCAACAAAT